CGACACGTTACGGTTTTCAGACAGTTGTAATGAATCAAGTTTCTCAGGTCACGTCATCAAAGCGCCTACTCCTTACATCTTCTGGTCGACAAACCATAGGCTGATTAAATCAACCAATCAGAAACCGTGCGGCCCAGGCAGAAGCCATAAAACTCCAGAACTAGTAACGCGTGATTGGTAGAGGCTTGGATGACCAGTGAAGTTGTTTTGATTTCTTTAGGAACTTCCATTCCGATGGCCTTTTCCTCGCGTCTCAGTTACCTGGGATACTGTCGTGCTGGTGCCAATGTGATTCAACGCTTGCGTGGCGTTTGTGATTTCTGATACGTGATTTGTGATCTGTGAATACTAAAACCATTACAAACATGTAGCCAAGTTTTTACTCTTGGCGACCCTACTCGTCTCGGTAAGGGTCGATCGTTCCAAATCCGCATGTCACGACACAACATTCGGTTTACCCACCAAAACATTCCATATGTAGTTGTATCAGACACTTAACTCACATCCAGAAACTCAACTTATCCAACAAAAGATTCTCCTGCTCCCCCACCTTCACACGCATTGACACCTTGAGACATGTCACGTAAAACAAGTACCGATAGAAATGTTTGTTTGGTTGTTGGTCCTTTATTACTTGCTGTTATTTTTGTCTTATCGAGTAAGTAGTATGAACTTGTACACTCATATAGGGTATTTTCATGGGTCAAACATCCACTTAATTTTAGATGACAGCAGTGTACAGCTTGTTTTATCACGCACAATTAACATCAACATAATACAAAACTCTGTTCGTGACTATGCACGTGTTCAGATCAGATTAGATCAAATTCCAGGACTTGCGGCTCGTGCTAATGAGAGTCCAGTTTCTTGCGCGAGTGAGCGTGAATGTCCCACCGTGCCTCAACCGTCCGGTATTCCAATACTTCAGTTCAACAAGGATGGTTTGGCAGGTTCACGGAATGCAAAGTACAAAATAGGGATCACTTCTGGAAAAAGTAGTCCACTCACGATGATCTCGGTTGACAACAGAATAAAACTGACGGAAGGGAGCGGAAGGATAAGAATGAAGCTGCGTTACAATAATAAAGGAAAGAGATGGAGACCCTGGTATGAAGGAGGTGCATAAGAGAGAGATGGAATAAAGGTACAAGGCCTCAGAAATTGGATAATGTCGGGGAATAGAGCAAATCAGCCATGGTCCTGGGTGAAATTGAACTACAGCACAGTCTGGGCCTAAGTCGCATTCGCTGGCAGCCTACCTATGCGTTTGCCACCCTGTGGGAGAAGTTCCTTCTTATGCATTTCAGAGCCCTGGGTTTGCTTCCTAAGGGAAAGACTTGAATTCAGGCTGAATAAGGGGGATCATTTCAGGAGCATGAAAGCCTCGCTTAGTTCCCCCTCAACATTCTCCGTGTGTGAGAGAAATGTTCCAGGATCTCCAGCGTATGAGATTACGTCAACTCTTGAAGACCTGCGAGAAACTTGATGAATTCCCTCTGTATATTTTCAACAGTGTTATTGTCTCCAATTTTCGTTGATGCCCATGCCTGGACACCATACTCTAAATAGGGACGGACTAACGCCCTGTACAGGTCAGGTCAGTTATCACAGGACTTCCCCCGGACGCCGCTGGAGGGATCGACCACGAGGGGTGTGTGCAACGTCGAATAAACTGCGTGAACCTACACAACTCCGAATGACTGGTCCTTCTGCCAGATTATATGGCCTGCCACCTTTACTCTTTCGCAGACGAAGAGCGACAAANGCGATAAAGAAATATATCGTGCAAATGCTAATGAACCGTGAGGAAGAAGTGCAAACCCAAAGGGAAATGACTTACCGAGTAGACAATGCGGGCTCACCAATGAAGCTAACCGGATGTTGACGGCCTTCCGGTATGTCTTCTTACGGGTCTCAGTATCGCGCGACCTCCTAGTGTCTCTTTGCCCGAAATAGACTAAAACACTCGTGGGCGTCGTAGACGTTTATTGGCGAATCGTGGTACTAGATAGTACCGAAACGTGCCAAGGTGACGCTAAACAAAGCAAGCAACAAATGCAGTAGCAGAGCGATAGCGTGTCACACGTGTAGCGTGGGTTTGAACAGGACCCAGCTTATATATACGCCTGAGCGGAAAACCGTGCTCGGTAAAACAAACAGAAGTAAAACAAAGAAAATATCACAGTTCGAGTCAGAGTTGATTGTGAAGAAAATATGAACGGAAAACGTCCTCGTGGATTGCTCCTTTTCTTCGTACAATCATGGTCACTACAAACCTACACAACTCCGAATGACTGGTCCTTCTGCCAGATTATATGGCCTGCCACCTTTACTCTTTCGCAGACGAAGAGCGACAAAGAATACAAACGATAAGCTGCCAAAGCACTGTGAGAAGACGATCGCAGCTCATCAGCGCAAGAAACTGAACGGTACCTGGCCTCACCCGCGCATCCTGGGACCCGACCTGACCTGGTCTGTCGGCTATGCAATCACTGGCTACTTCATATCAGCGAACCTAACATTCAATCATGTTGTTGATCTCTGTTGAATACTACAACGAGATCAACCCATTCTTCCCTCGAACAAGAATCTGAAAACTCCAAGAGACTTTTCTGACAATGGCATTTGTGAAAATATTTGAACTAATCTGCTGTTCAAAGCATTTCAGGTGGAACCTTCTATCACTGTAGTAGCAGTACAAAAAGAGAAATGATATATAAGTGTCTAAAATGACACCAGATAGGAAATAATCTTTTGGGAATAATTATTGGGCGTTGGCACGTTTGGTTGATGTAGAACAAAATTTTTGTTTGAATGCATTGTTATCCGTTCCGGGCAAGATGGTGAAGTTGTTTGTCGGGAACCTGAACCCCGAGTCCAAGGCTGCTGACCTGCGAAAAAAGTTCGAAGCATACGGTAAAGTAACCGAGTGCGACATCGTCAATAACTACGGTTTTGTGGTATGTCTCTCATTTTATCGTGTTATTTTTGTAGCATATGGAAAAAGAAGCCGACGCTGACGCAGCACTGAACGGCTTACAAAACGCAATCCTGGACGGCGTAAAAATTAACGTTGAGCGTAGTCACGGAAAGCGCACTGGTGGTCCTGGACCAATGAGACGACGCCCGGAAGGACGGTTCAGGGATTACCCACCAGATCGTTTCCGTGGTCCCCCGCCAAGGTATATGGGTGGACCTCCTCCACCCCCTCCACCGCGAATGAGTCGTTACGGCCCCGGTTGGGATGATGGTTACGGCGGTCCCTACGGACCTCCCCCACCTCGCGCCAGTCCTCGAGGTGAGTTCTTATCAAGTGTTAGTGATTGTTAGACGCAGGGGGTTATGATTACCCATCGAACGGAACCTCGGGACGTTATCCCCCTCCACCTGAGCGTGTCGAACCTGTAAGGCCACCTCCAAGAGGTCCTGGTCGGGAACCACTACCGCCACCACCAGCTCCTGGTTCAGGATACAGGGGGCCACCAATGCCGGAACCTTTACCGCCGAGGGATTATCCTTCCAAAGCTGCCCCACCGCCACCCAGGTCTAGGTAATTATGTGCTTACATTAGTTCACTTTCAGATATGATAATTATGACGGTTATGGTGATTACGATCGCTATCGTGAGCCAGCGCCTCCATCAAATTCGCGTCCAAACGATTATTATGACAATTACGGCAACTACAGCAGCGGCGGAGGATATGAGTGAGTTTTTTCCCACATCGATCTTACCTTTGCAGCGATTACCGAGATAGCGAACGGTTGCCTCCAAGCAATTATGATTCCGGCTACGATTACGGTTATTACGACTATGGTAACGATAATCGTTCACCAGCCCCTGCGAGGTAGTTTTCTTCTTTTTTATTCATCCCTGACCGATCCCATAGGTACTCTTATGGTCGTCCTTAAAGGTGAGTGATTCCTCTTAACGCAATCAACAATGAGGTCGACCTAGTTCGAGTGGGCTCGAGCGATGTAGATCACCGTCTGCGCCGAGGTACATTCCGGGTCGTACTCAACTGCTTGTTTGTTGCTAAAAAGGCAATAGGTCGTCGGAGTTTACGTTCGTTTGCGTAATTCGTTAGTTTCATAGTATTTTTTACGTGTTCGGGGTAATACGCTTATCACCGCGCTTTTTCTCGATTTTAGGGCGTTGCCAGTTTCGTGTCAAGTGGAGTAGCGGGCTTCGTGTTGCATTTAATTCCGTTAACCCCGGAGTGCTTGCGGATCTGCCTTGCTTCTCTGCTGTCGTCGGTGATCAATAGGGTCGCGTTGCAAGCTTTGCGTTCGATCTTCCGATTCCGGCGTATCCACTCGTGTGTTCTTTATATACCCTTTGAAATACATAATGTCGCTCCCTCGTTCGCTTTTTGCGTGCAGTTCAGCGTCCGATTTCCTAAGTGCTGACACGTTATCTAAACCATTTGCAATTTGTCAACGTAGAACTTTTCTCCTAGCGGTTTGTGTTTCGCACAAACCCGTGTTACTGACTAGCTTTGGTGTGATTTCTGCAACCTTTATCGGGTTCATTACAGTCGTAACAATTGGTCGCTTTATTCTACCAGTGAGCAAATGTTACCCGCGACACCTCATGGACTGGGTGCTCAATAGCGTTTTAGCAGAATCTGATCCGATCGCTCGTCTGTTCCAGTTTGACGGAGTCTTCGATAACTGTGCTTGTTTTAGCAACTTTGACATCCGCATGGGAATCGCTCGTCGTGATTGCTCCTGTATATGTTTTGACGCACATTATTCGGGCCAATCTTATTTTAGATCGCGGCAATCAGCCCAGAGTGGTATCTTGTTTGTATGAAAAGTTGTCGTTCAGCTGTCTGAGTGGCATTGATTGGCGTTCCTTTAGCATTGTTATCCGACGCTTGGGAAGCCTGCGGTATATGACGCTCATCACTGGTAGTATGTGAATTCAGTGTCTCTCTGATGCATGCAATGCGCTGGTTTCTCTGGCTTTTGATGACATTTACGAGAATTGATGAGGACTCCTTTGTTTTGCAACTGGTCGTTGTGGAGAAACGCGAAGTATTTTTTATTGAGTTTGTGTTCCAAGGTTCGTAGGGAATCGCAAATTGTGGTAGTCTACTCCCGATTGTTGTGAACAGTAGAACATCTATTGCGTGGACAATGTTCATGACCAGTTAACACCTAATCCTGGTGTACTTGGGCGAAGTCGATCATGTGTTTGAATTTTGAGAGTCACGTGCTGTGAATCTGTTTTCGGTGGTTCAAAAAGGTTATGTCCTTACGGGCTTGCAAATAAAGTCGCGATCGTTAAGTGAGTTCAAACAAGCGGCGTGGCTGCAATTATAGTAGCGTTCGGGGAAATTTTCAAGGTATTGTGTGCCTGAAGGTGATGGTAACATTGTGGCGTTTTCATTCACAGTAATATCAGTTCTCGGAACGCCAAATTTCGTTATTAGTAACTGATCAAATTTACGTCAGGCGTGTTCATGATACCTTTCTCCCGGTTTGATTCGTAAGGTGTGCTCCATGTGCAACAGCTCAATGAGGTAAGCTAGGGATTTGGTGCGAGCCAAAATCTTGGTCTTTTTATTCATTATTCGAGCTTTGCTGCATTTCTATTCCTCGATGGTCGTTCATTCCCTAGCCTAAGGTGTGGGCAAACCTCATCAGTATTTTGCATCCTAATTCCGGAAATAAAACATGGTAAGCCTGGCGCTGTTTGTTCGCTCGTGAAGTGACACTGACGTTCCGGTCGTCTGGTTAAAGCTGTGTACGTTGGGAAAATAGCTTGAGTCATCTGCAGCAGAGCTTGGGGAACAATTTGGCGGCAATCCTTTCCATCGTTTGCTTTTATTGGGCACTTGAACTAGCATGGTCGTTTCGTGGAGCATGGATGAATGTGATTGTTCGGGTCGTGCAGTGTTGAGTTAACACTGCAATGGAACAAAAATGAGTGAACGCTTTCAGTTGTCGCTTCGTTTTTCGTAGTTTTTCTGTAATGGTATCGATGAGCTGAATTAGATTTATCGTGTTTTGTGTGTCCTGTTACTGCCACGTTTGCTGTATTTGATACATGTAAAAAGCCTACAAGTGACGCCTGACTCAGCGAAATGGCTTGGCCAAAATCATTGAAGTGAACTACCATTGGCTTCATGGGCTTCATATTCCTCACACCCGTAAACATCGTCAGTATTATTGATGTATTGCGAACAAGGGGCGCATGGTTCAGAATCCCGAGGACGATCTCAACGAGCTCGGTTCTTTTGATGGGTTCCTCGAGTTTCAGAAAGATCGGCGTTTATGATGCTTGTTGGATTAGTTTTTCCAGCCCGCGTCCTTCACGTCCAGATTGTTGATGACCAACCTCATAGGGATTCATTCAATCCTTGTTTGCTTTGTCATCTGCACATAAACCAGGGCTGCGCTTTACTCTGAACAATGTTCGGATTCAGGATAGTATATGACGAGATAACAAAAGAAAGAGTCAAACTAACTAGCGCCGTGGCTCATTGTGGCTTTGCTTTTCCTCTGCTCGTTCGTTAGATCGCTACGGTTTTAGAGGTTTCGTGTTGGTCGTGCGCCCCACGGGGTTCGTTTACTGATACGCTTAGGCGAATGACTAACTCCATGACTGGGAAAAATGCATGTATCGTTACACCCACCTCGGTGGCCAGAGGATACTAAGTGTTTCGTCCCTCGAGTTGGACCCTACCTAAAACGGACGGATGGCAGATCATTCAATTGATAACCCAGATGGATGTATTTCGGCGCTCGCATTTGGACGTTTAAGATCACCAAAAGTGTTATCTTATAACATGGCAGGGGTTCTCTGCAACAACACCTAATCTAAATTCATTAGAGAGCGAAATAAAGCGAACCACCTGATAAGGCTACCATCAGAACATGGAGTAAGGCGTAGTGGCTGGATCGGGCCCTCGTACAGTGCTCAATGGTGCTGTGGATGTCACTGCAATGAATTCTCGAGCTCAGCGATGTTGCTCCATGGGGACGACAACGGTTCATCTAAACGACAGAGCGGTCATGTGTGCTCATTATGTTGATAATTGTGTTTTACGGTAAGGTCTTTGAGGCAGCATCTTCAGACGCAATCTCGGGAAAGCTGTGATGACCACTGCAATACTCGATCATAATACCTGGCAAATTAAAAACCGTTTTGTATTCGAATTTTTGTTAGGTTATCACACGCAAAATCGATATCCGTCATCTTGGGTCCTCTAAGTTGAAATTCTTGTTGTGGAGGTCCATGGTTTGCAACCACGGACTGATGGAGTAAAGTGTTAGTATGCGACTTACGTTTGAAGAGCAGTATCTATCGGGCGCGTATGCCATACCAAAGTGAGCAACTGGCTCTTATCGAAAACTTGATATATAACCTACGGCCATGGAGTGGGAAGAGAAGTGTTCTGTTGTGGTCGTCCTACCGAAGAGATAGCACAAAAGCCACACNTGCATGGAGAAAATCAATGCGCGATTGTCTTCCAATTTCAGCAGGAAGTCTGACTAAACCACGCCAGTGTAAGGTACATTAATAACTCCTTAAGCAGTAGGCCACTGAGAGCCTACTATACTGAGCTGAAGATGGCGAGAAACACTCGAGACGGTTCCTATATGTGCCCGCTACATAACGCCTAAGTTGTGCATAAAAACGATTTTTCGTGCCGCAGTCGACGATTGGTAAATAAGCGTTATCAAAATTTATGGAGTGTGGGAAAAGTGAATAATTTTATTCTGGTGGGTTTACTGAGTTCCAAATGCTGCTTGACTATCATTTGGTTTTAAGACATTCCTTACGCAAAGTCTGCGGAACATGAAAGGAGTCGTGCATTTCCAGGTAAGTAGANNNCGGGGCATGATCTAAGACGATACCGAGCGGTTGACGTAATACGAATGTTGAGCCGGCCAAATAAATAAATTAATGAGAGAAGCGGAAGTTATACAAAGTGGCTATTAAGGAACGGATAAAAGGCATACGTGTAGAGAACAACTGAATGATTCGTTGGAATGAAGCACAAATACTCGCTTGTCTGCATCGCACAATTGCGATGTAGTCGTTTTTTTGCGTGGGTTATGATCACTTGGGCCAGTTCGCGCTTACCGAACCACACCCACATTGAACAGGTGTCATGTTGCATAGGCGATATGTTGGCAGGATTTCCTGGGTAGAACTGAGGTAGCCAATAGTCACTTCCGAAGCGCTAAGGGTTTACTTCAGTGGTTCACGGACATGAAGCTACAATCCAGAACAGTTATTGCGGTGTGATAAGCTTTTTTCGTTGCTTCGATCCATCAATTCGCCTCACACCGACGAACGATTACAGCTTTCGGTATTTATGCAGAGCTCCGTTGAGTGCGAGAATTTCATCATCCCCTTCAAGTTGTGTCTCGGAAGTATGTCAACACTACGTAGTTGTAATTGAGTGAACTAAGTGTTTTTTATCCCAAGAGTTCTCACTGTTTGATAAGATCGTCATAGTACGTTTTCTGTTCCATTTCGTTGTGGGCGGTATATTAGAGCACCACCTGATTGACCTTAAGGATTGATGCTAAACTGGTAGTTGGAGTAAAGTGCCATTTCGCGTACGCGAATCACACCCTGCATCTATGTCATGTTACGGCGGACGCACAAGGAACTGCTGATAAACTGTGCGNCTGTGCGACCCAATCGCTCTTTTAGTTACTCCTTTTTCACATCAAGGTGTAGAGTGGTGGTGAATAGTGTCGAATTCAAAAAGGCGTCCGACATCAGTTATTAATTCTACCCGGAAAATTGCTTGACCAATGCGAGTAACTCTGGTTGGGACTTACATGCATTCACCTAGTCGTCTTAAACATAACCGCCACACAGTACGGTAATGACGTCTCAATAATACAGAAAGATCACGTTTGTGTTGATGCAGTAGCATCCCTTAAAATCTACGGTTGGGATCTTAAACTGTATATTTCGGTTATTGACGCCAACGGTGTATAACGAAAATTGGATACGAGTAACGAGCGTTCAATCGTGGNCAATCGTGGTGAGTGGTCCCATGATGAGAACTGCATTGTCTAAAAGCTAGTTACCATAATGGAGCGAATATCACTTCACATTTAGAATTCATTTTTTGCGTACTGGGAAGTGTCATCCACCGCACCGCATATTATTCGAAGTCACTGCTCCGCGCCGACGAAAACTGCAGAGACCAGAAATTGTGGTAATGATTCTCGAAGCCCAAAACGATTAGGTAGATCAGGTATCTCATCTTCCCACCTGCGGTCCAAGTGTGTC